AGGGAACGAGAGATGGATGCTGGCCAGATGCCCTTCTCAATGGGTGTTAAAAACCTGACAGAACTGCGGGCAGTTAAGAGATGCTTTACTCCTCCTCTGAGTTCGGAAATAAGAAGAAAAGGGACCTGTGTGTGTGTGTACCCAGAGCAACTGTAAGGCCTTGACAGAAGCAAGAAGCACTACCTTCCAAACCGAAGGGACTCAAGGCTGCAGTGGAAGGGCCTTTTCATGCAGGAGTTGCACGATTCAGGCAGAATTCCCTGCTGCTTGAAATGATGTTTATTTTAATGTTAAATCAGCCAAGGACTGTAGGTTGTCCTTGATCCGGTCTCCCTACTCCAAATAATGTAAGTACTGAAGGGAACTTACTTTCTGGTGTTTTCCCCTTATTCCTTACATACTTATATTCTTTGCCGGAAGAAATCTCTTCTCTGCCTCACATATTGTTAGGGTGAGATTCATCTTGTTCAATTTTTAACATTTATATTTGAGCTGCTTCTCTAGATCACCTTACCATCAATGGAGAGAAAAGAAAATTTATAAAACATAAACTGTCTGACCAATTTTGGACACTGACCTTAGCATGACATATGTTGCACCTTAAGATTTTCTGTTTTCTGCATTATATATGTCTAAAATTTAGATTAGATGAATCCCACCCTTAGTACTGATTTATTGAGCCTTTCTCAAATGGTGTCCAGCAAACCAGAGAAGTTTTACCAGAAACGTATTAGAGAAGCATGTTTATCAGGTTTAAGACAACAGTCTGTTTAAGACAAAGAAGAGAAGGTAGTTAATAATTAAAATGTTCCTTCCATATGTAGTGTTCAGAAGCAACTGAAATTTCTAGAACTAAATACACAAATCTCAGTAGGTTTTGCTAGACTTGGACGGAGGCTGTAGCAAAGTCAAGTTCTCTGTGGACTAGATGCATGCAAAATAGTAGTACAGTTTATTTATATAGATCCAGTGTTTCAAGGGAAGTGTTTGATCCATTTGCCTAGGAGGACTGCTGAATCTGTTTTTAATAGAGAAAAATCTTTATCCTGATGATATTAGAGGTGCAGTTTTGTAAGCTAGCAAAGCTACAGTGTTTCCCCAGGAATGGGGATATTGCTTAGACCACACCATGCCTAAAATTTTTCCAGTAAGGATCTGTGTAGACTAGAGAGAAGCTTATTTTTTCTACAGAGAGCAAGAGAGTATGGCTTTAATTTCTCTACAGCAATAAAAAAGCAGTAGATATTTTTATGGGGTTCCTTCTGTATTCAAAAGTTATTTTAAAAAAAAAAAATCTTGTCATTGTGAGGAAATACGCATTTTTGTCAAATTGAGTTGCAGTGTGATGGCTGGTATTTGAGGAAAGGCTGGATACATCCATCCACATAGGCATTGTTTTCAGCTGTATTCACTGCATTGCTTTTCACCAGTGTGGCCCTATTTTACCAAATAATTTTGAACTATGTGTGGGGTTTCTTTTATTTGGTTTTAGGCTTTTTACAGGTTGGTTTTTTTTTTTTTTTTTTCCAAATTCATAGCTTGATATTGAGTTTTTCAAATTTCAAATTTTATGAAGCAGAAAAGCTACTTCTCTTTAATTTTATCACAACAAAGCTGCATTTTCAATATTTTGTAGAGGTACTATTTTACAAGCATATAATTTAGGAACTCAAACGTACTCGAATACTGTTTTTTAATCTAGGCTGCCTGGTTTTCTGGGGTGTGTAGAGTATTTAGAGATAATCCACTGAAGTTACTTTCAGAAAAGGAGACTCATAGATGTTCTACTGCATTCTAGCTTTTGTAAAGGATTCTGTGGGCCCCTTGGTGTTTTTGGAAATTGGAAAAGGTTGGAAAATAATGTCTTAATATTAGAAATTCATCATGGTTCTGCAGAATTACTTGGGTTAGAGCAGACCTAGAACAATACAGTAATGTCAGTAAAGAGAAGTATCAGAACATCCTTGATTCTGATACAATGATGTTTGTATCTTTCTGCATTACTAAATAGCTTTCTTGGTGATAACAGCAAATTTGTGAAGTATTCCTGATTTATAAAACAAAATAAAAAAATAAAACCCCAGACAGTGTGGAAGATCTGTGTAGATCTTGGCTTCCTGAAGCTTCTCAGTTTCTGTAAACCGGGTGACTAATGACGCCTTTTATGTTTGAGGCTGTATAAAATAATGGAATAGGTCTGATTTTCACCTTCCCCTTGCACAAGTTTTACAGCAATTTAACTCCTTTCACTTCAAGGAAATTATATTGGATTTAAAGAATTCTCTGATTGGAGCAAGACTTGGCCCATCTTTGAGTCAATAGGACGTTATTACAGTTATTCTTTCATTTACAGAGATCTCATGCACTGGTTGGTGGTCTTGCAAACTAAAAATAAAGCACATCAGTAACAGGTATGGTTTTGCTTGTGGGCTGCTGTTGGGCAAAATCTAATGCCTCACAAGATCAATTACAAGCTGAGTTTCTTCAAGCAGCCAGGTCTGTTCTGAAGGCAGAGAAGTACCTGTGCACCTGGCTTGAGGGTGGTGGTAGTGTTGGAAATTGGGGTAATGTTTTTTCCCTATGGTCTTAAGTCTAAACCAGGAATGACTGAAAAATGATACTGTGAGCTTCTCTAATAGTCGTTGAGCAATGTCAAGTTTTTTTCATTGTACAAGTGCAAATGTTTTTCTAACTGCAAGAATCATAAATGTCTTCAGATCAAAGTGAGTTTTCTGGTTTGTGCCTCATGGTTAGTGTTAATCTTCTCTTTATTAACAGCTGCACAATATGATTGTCTTCGAGTGTGACTAAAAACACGATATAACCCAAGTGGGAACTTGCGTAACTGTTCTAATGATGTGATAGCTGGATTGGACTTGAAAGCAGCTCGGCAGTAGTTACTAAGAGTAAAAGAAAGTTGATACTGGTGAATACATTGTGGGATTGATATGTTGAGAATGTGCTGTTTAATATAGCCAGTTTTTGAAGTGTAACATGGTTTCAAAAGAAGGTGTTAATTTAAATAACTTCCAGTCTATAAAATGACATTCCAGCCCATAAAAAGGTAAGGCTTTTTGCCAGGGCTAGCAATGCTTAGTGCCTTAGTTTGCAGAATAAATGTGGCAAGCCTTTTAATGCTGACTTTTTTTTTTCCTGGCTTAGGACTAAATATTTAATCAGTCAGTTATAGATTACTTGTTGATTTCAAATCATTTTAATTTATCTAGTGTTTTTCCCCCCCCTAGGGATTCTACAAATGAAACTACTGCACATTCAGATGCTGGCAGTGAGCTTGAAGAAGGAGAAGTCAAAGGAAAAAGAAAAAGGGGCCGTCCTGGCAGGCCTCCAGTATGTGTAATTTAGTTTTGTTTTGTTATGCATCTATTTAAAATTGACTGCAAACTGTTTTTCATCTAATCATCTTGTGGTCACATAAATAGGCTTTTAATGAACCCTATGTCAAACTTTATGAAGACTTGTAGTATGAAATATTTATCAGATTGATATACAAACAATGTTTGGAGTGTTTAAAAAGGGACATAAAAATGAGCTCATAATAGCTATTATTTTTTCTTTTGCTAGCTACTTACATGAACATTACAATTTTGTTTTTATTGTCATATTACAACATTCTTCCAGACATGAAAAAAATCTCAGTAAACACGACCACTTTCTGTCTTGAAAGTTGTAATGGATTTTAAGTGACAAGTGACATTTGAGCCATCTTTTTAGTAACTGATAAATCTCTTAATGTGAATGGAAGAGTTGCAGCATAGTATTAACTAAATGCCTCAGAAGATCTATTAACACATCTTAAAAATTGACATACACTGTGTCCTATGTATAGATTGGGAGCTTCAACCTATTCTCTACCATAGTGCCGCAGATGATATTGCTGTCTGCTGTATAAGATTTGCTGTTCTTCAGTAGTCTTTGCCCATTGCTGCACCATGAATGGGAACATACAGAAACAATTCTCTATTACACATAGTATTTAAGGAGGCTTTCTCTTTTATTTTCATTATTTTATAAAATAGCCAATTTATTGGAAAATACGGAAAAAGTTCTGTGTATCATGTTGTCCTTCATTTTAGTTCTTCAGTGTCATCAGATGTAGTTCTCTTGATTATATCACTTGTACACATTGTGGAATAAGATTTTTAGTGGGAACTTCTGTGTGTTTGTTATTAATGGTTTTGATTTTCCTTAGTCTATGAGTATACCCCCAGTATGAATGTGCTATATAGATAGCACTAGTAGATTGAAGTGTGTTTGGTTGGTTTTTTTTTTTACCCTAAGTCTAACTCCTTAAGCATGTGCTAGTGAGGCTGTAAGAATGGACACAACCATATGTTCCTCTAAAGCATGCCGGCCAAGGTGGAGCAAACTCCTTAGTATTGGTTTTCAATTTGTGTCACAGTTTCTGGACTTGCTTTGGGAGCCAGCATTTTAAATCCTGGGCTTTTCTGGGCATGTTGTCTTCCTTTTTGAAAGCTCTTGAACAGTGTTTCCTATGATGGCATATATTCTTCATGAGATGGACAAATTTGCTCACAAACGTGGAGCTTCTTTGCAGGAAGCTTTAAAGAAGCATGTAAAGAGAACAGGTCATCTGTTTATATAGCTTGTAAGCAAAGGGCAAAATCAGAAAGTATCTTAAGAATATCTCATTAGTAAATCTATGAATTTTTTCAGATTTAATAAAAAAAAAAAAAAACAGAGGATGGTGCAACCTGATTGCTAACCCAGAAGGTTGTCAGAGTGTACAAATTCAAGTTAAAGCAACACTAGTGGTATTTTGTACCCCCCCCACTTTCACTGGAAAGGAAAAGTGAATGTTACAAAAGGCATTCCTCATCCCTCTGAGCTTATTAGTAGCTCCTATGGGAATATTCACTGAAGCACTCTACTGCTCCTGCTATCAAGTTTCTACAGGAGCAATTGCTCATTATGCTTAGAACAACTCCAGGCTCACTAAGTGTACATGATTGTAAAGTGATGAACATACAGGCGAAGTAGCCATTGCTTCATACATAAAACAATGGGCTGTGAGCTGACTGTTGCTGCTGAGGAGCAAGAGCTTAGGGTTATCAGAGATGATTCCATGAAAGCATCATCTTAATGCTCAACAGGCTTCAAAAAAAAAACAACCCAAATCCAGTCTTAAAACTGTCAGGAAGGGAATAGAGAATAAAACTATGTCCTTTATAAAACTGTGGTTTGCCAAAATTTGGAATACTTTGCGCAATTTTAGTTTCTCTTCCCCTCTTCACCTCTGCCCCAAAATCTCAAGTAAGGGTGTCTTAGGACTGGAAGAGGTTCAGAGAAGAGAAACAATGATGGTCAGTCATGGAATCAGGCTGGGAGGGACCTCAGGAGGTCTCATTGCAACCTCCTGGTCATAGCAGGGTCAGCTTTGGGATCAGACCATGTTGCTCGAGGCTTTTCCAGTCTAGTCTTGAAAACCACCAAGGCTTAAAACTGCATAGCCTCTCTCAGCAACCTTTTTCATTTTATTTTGTGAAAAATTTCTCCCTTGTAGGCAATCAGAACCTCTCTTTCTTCAGTTCATGACTACTGTCAGTTGTCCTCCCACTATATGCTGTTGCAAAAAGCCTCACAGGGGAGTGTTCTCGGCCCCCTGACCATGTTGACAGCCCTCTGCTGAACTTGTTCTAGTTGATCAATACCTGTCTTGCATTGAGAGAGCCAAAACTGGGTACAGTATTCTGGATATGGGCTAAAAAGTGCTGAGTAAAAGGGCATAATCACTTTCCTTGGTGTACTGCTATATTCCTGTTTGTACAGCCCAGGGCGCTGATGGCCTTTGCTGCTCAAGCACTGTCTCATGTCCAGTTTGCTGTCTTCCAAGACCCTGAGGTCCTTTTCCACAGAGCTGTTCCCTGACTAGCTGGTCTCCAGCCTGTGTTGGTGCAGGATTTAGTCCTCTGCCAGGGGCAGGTCTTTGCATTTGTCCATGTTGAATTTTGAGTGTACTGTTAGCCCAGTCCTCCAGACTGTCAACAGCAGTCTTGCCCTTGATGTCATTAAGCGGTCTCCCTGCCAATTTGATGTTATCTGCACACTTGACAGGAGCACACTCTCTCACCCCCTCCAGCTATCTGATAAAGATAGGAAACTGGATACGTTCCAGTTAGACTACTGTTTTACTCCTTCATTGCAAGCCTCCAGGTAGAGGATGATCCATTAACCACTATGCTCTGAGCCCAACAGTTCAACCACTTGTCCACCCATCTAGTTATCTACCTATCCAGATCAGAACTTCCCAATTTGAATGCAAGAATATTCTGGGACACTGTTGAAAACCTTGCTAAAGTCAAGATAAATGGCATCTATTGCTCTTCCCTCATCCACAAATTCAGTCATTTTGCTACAGTTTTTTGGGTGACTTGACAAAATGTATATGTTTGGATACACAATCAAATCCTGCCTTCATAATTTATACTGCAGCAACAAAAAGGAATAAATAAGGTTCTTCTACGAAAAAATAACCAAAAAGAAAGAAGCCACTTAATGTCTAATATCCTTGAGGAGAAATGCAAGCACCTTGGAAAGTCTAATCTATGCAATTAAATTTATAACATTATTTGATAATAAAAGTCGGGGACTTAGTAATTGAGGTGTTGACTTTGCAAACATTGTATTTCACTTTCCCTCCTCCTCCACATTACTCGCATATCCATGTTGCTAACCCATCCACTTTCCTCACGTGAATTATCTGTTTCTTACAGGAGGTGCAGCTCTGGCATTTTTCCCTCACTCTTCCATCAGCTAACATGATTTTTATTTCCTCCACAGGTACCACCTACCTTTACTCTCAGGTGTGAAACAGATCAAAATATTTAGTTAAATTCCTCAACTGATACTTAGCTTTGATGTTTTTTGTTTCTGTTATAGACCTAAAGAAAGGCTTTTCTGCCCAAAGGCTCTTCTGGTTTTTGTGTTTTTTTGTTTTTGTGTTTTTTTTCCCCCTAACTAAAATATTACGGTCTAATAAGATTTGATCTCTCCCTGCACATGCTGATTTGCTTATGTCCTTAGGCCATCACAGTTACAGTGACACATCTGCCATAAACATATTGACCTCTTTTGGAAAGAGAGTTTACTCTTCTGTGCTGTTTTGTCTAGCTGCATGGTTCTATTGCAGAGCTGCACACAATGTACTCCATCAAATATATGTATGTATTTTAAATAGGTTTCTGCTGTAGTGTTATAGAATGGACTTGGCCTTTTATCAGAAAGATAGACTACTGCTAGAGGATTTTCCAGACTTTTTTCCAAAGACATTCTTCTGCAGATTTGAGACTTTTGTAAGGAGATGGTCCTCATTTGACAATTTTCCATTTGTAGCAAATACCTCTTCAGTTCGTAGAGAACCTTAATGTTTTGGGGAACCTTCCCTTCCTGAAAACGCTGCTTTCCAAGTTGCCCCTCCACTTCTATAAGAGACTGTTCTAATGAGTACTTGACTGAGTAAACCAGACAGTCAACTTGCAAAGAAATTAAGTGCATTGGTCCTTCAAAATAACTCTCGGAATCCAACCTGATTGTCCTGAATTCACTGACCCTTGCTGTGAATTTAGCAGGAGTTGCACCATGTCCTGTTCTAGCATTGACAATGGCTGGGGCTGACCTCCCGCTTGCTCATGTCGGCTTCTAAGCACTGAGTCTTGTAGACCAAATGCCTGTGGAACGACTGGCCAGGGGGTGAATCTGTCCAGTCAGTGGGATATTTTGGCGCATGTATTTATGCGATACTGTATGCGAGCATACCATCTGGATATATATTTAGTGAATCGTGTGGGGTGTATTTAAGGAGTGACCTATGGTTGAAGTTGCTGAGTAACATTGGCCAAAAATGCCTTTTCTGTCTGTTGCATTATTGAAATACATGGGTATGGATACTCTCTCTTGTTCTGGGTAGGGGATTTGAAAGCCCAAGGGCTTATGATGCAATGTAGCTTTCACATTAGTGAGCTCAGGCTCAGATCAGTTCTTTATCTATCCTTTTTTGTCTCCTCTCTTGGATCAATGCTCTCTGTTCAAAGTTGTTGGCATGCTTTATTTTAACCTACCTGGCCTTACCTTCCTGGGAGCTCAGAATAGCTTGGCTTAAACCTCAGCTGTTAGAGGTTGAGGAAGTGAGGGAGATCCCTGGCTATATTTCAGCTTTGAAGTAGGAGTAGAGAGATTAGCCTCTTTGACTCAGAGGACAAGAAGAAACATTGGTCTTTCTGTTCCAGAGGTGGCAATTTTGAGATCTCTGCTGGGGTGTCTCTTGTCTCATACTCAGGGCCGCAGCATGCCTTTCTCCAGCTCCTCTCCACAGATTCTTCTATTAAGGCAAGATGGAACAAGGCACTTCTGATCCTCTTGTCCCTAGCGCATACTGTATGGTGTTGCTTTCAGGTCCTTTTGTATTGTTTGATATGGAGGAGACAGACCATAATACCTTATTTTTGCATTCATATGTGAAATTTTAACTTTGCAGCAGACTCTCAGCCTTATTTAGTCTTGGTAGTAGCATGGATGTTAGATACTGCAGGAGACTGAGTTTTCCTTCTAGTTCCAAATCATATACATCCTGATTAACAGTAGAAAGGAATCCTCTTGGAAGAATTTCTTTTCATAGTAGTTGAGCTTTGCGGTTTGGTGTGACTTACATCAGTGTACTGTTCCAGCTTGCTTGCCTGATATTTTAGGTCTGTCTCTTAAAACTGAAGTGAATAAGTCTTTCTGTATTTCTGTGGAAATGCAGTGCACATACAGCCAGTATGTGAAGACTTCTCTGTCCCGCAACTTGTAGCTTCCTGGTGGAGAAATCCTGGTGACCTTAGTAAGCTTTTGATGGGATGGTCCTTGTATTTTTGGCAATCTAATCTATTCTTCATTTTTCTGTGGAAATAGCCTTTTTTTTGGTAGCAGTTGCCTCAGCTAGAAGAATAGAAGTGATTCAAGCATTTATAGCAGACCCTTTTGATTCTTTAAGATCACTTTTAGAATTCTTGCTGGGTTTTTAAATAAGGGTGGAAAAAAAGCAACACCTCCCCCCCCCCCCCCCCCTCTGGGGTTTTTTTGTTGCAAACCGCATGTGCTACAGCTGAAGCAGCTCTGTATACACTGGATATTAGGGGGCCTGTATCTATCTTTATTTGCAGGATGAGGCTTTTCACAGGGAGCACCTTGTTTGTTTCTATGACGAAAAAAGTCCAAAGGACTGACTTTGAATCCAAGAACTTCTCCCTATGTAACCATGATGATGTTACAAAGCGTGTGGTAGCCTTCTTTTTTTAATCAGGATTCATTCAGAAAGAGCTCGGACATTACTACTCTTCCGCTTAACATGAGGTTATAATACAGAGGTCTCTCAAGATGATGATGCCTTTGAGAGACAAGTTCTTTGGTCTTACTTAAGTAGAAGGTTAAAAAGCTTCTTCCAGCTATCTTGAGAAAAGTGGTATTGCTTTAAATTACTTACGGTATGAATGCATATAGAGGCCATCATTTAAGGCGGTGGGTTAGGTGGAGTTACTGACCTGTAACACTTTTACTAACTTTATTTCTTTGTGAAGTGCATCAGATCAACTTGGCGAATGTTAATGGAAAATGTCAAGCCACTTTTAACTTTTTTTTTTTTTGGTAGTGTGTGAATTAACTTTTACTGTATTACTTGATTTTACAAATGTGGGTCACTTTTTTCTTCACAATAATTTTGAAGACATGAAAGGAAAAGTGTTATCTAGCTAATTTACTACAAAATTCTAAATTGTCATAATTTTAGTTTAATTAGAGTCAGGGTAAGTGTTTTGTTTCCTGTTTGCCTTTAGTTTAAGCCATAAAGCAACAGGTAAACTGTGTGGTCAACAATATGGCCATTTTAGAGTTGCTTCTGTGGCACATTCTGGAACTGCTGAATTTTGTAATGCTGGTGTGTATAAATCCTCAGCTTTAGTTGTTGTCAGTTGAATCTACTGCACAGATCTGAAAAATCATTAGTAACTTCTGTTTTCATTTGGCAACTCAGTCCATTTTGACACCACCACCAGTCCAACTGTCTGTCCTGGGTCTCAGAGTGAAAGCACAGATTTAACTGCTGCAGGCTCACAGCTCCAAGTAGCACCTTTCTTGGTGTGTGATTTAAAAAGAAACTTTATTCAAGGGGACTCAGTACTATATCTGGTGTTAATTCAGGTCCAGGATATTGAGATATTTACTTGGGCTTGAAGAATCTGGCTTTGTCCGGTAATTCTGTCAAAAGTACATCTGTTGGTTATTTCTGTACCTCTTCTGAGAGCTCACTGGTGTTCTCACCCTTCTAATTCAAACTATGAGTCTTGGTCAAAGCACCCCCCTTTCCCCAGGATACCTGACAAAAGTGGAGTTCAAATTGAGCATTTACATGTCTTGTGATTACTCATTGTGAGTGCCTGCACACTGGTCCATAGTACTCGTGCCAATCTAGGTGGCTTCTCTCATTGCTTTCCAGTAACAAGGTATCTTTGGATGTGTGCATTTCATGTCCATCTCCTACTTGCTTTCCCTCCATCCTTGCAGTGTTTAATGTCTCCCTTTGAATTACATGTTGAGAAAAACTGAGTATAGAGGGGGCTTGCATTAGCTTCTGTGGAGGGCATCAACTTGCATTCTTGCTTTCATTTAGCAGTACTTGTACCTAGTTGAAGTGCCTATGGCTTACTGTCACCCAGATTGAATAAGCATATGGATTATATATCTCAAAAGAGTCAATTTACTCCTAATTGTTTGCCATTTTATTAAATAGTGATCTGTCTCTGGAGCTCGGTAGAGCTCCAACATTTCATGTATTGATAGTTTTCTTGATGATAAAGGCAGCTTTGCACATGTTTAAAAATTCATTGAGGGAGAACGCATATTCTTTTGATCATAAGTGCAGATGTTATCCAAAAAACTTTTCACAGAGATTGTACCATTATTTTAAGCTTTCAAGCTTGCATTTGTCTGCAAGTCCTTAATTGAATATTTGCAAGAGGCAGTTGCAGTTGCACTCTACCTTGCCCTTTTCTTTAGCTCTCTGGCCCCACCAGCAGTGATCCCTTTTAAAGTAAGGGGAAAGCTAGACTGCCAATTTGTCTTCTACCAGCTCTCTTCCAGAAATTAGATCCCTTTTCTCTGCAGGAAAATTCTTAATGTGTCTGCAATTGGAAGATGCAACCAAAAATGTTGACTTCATGTTCTTTACTAAAAGCTTTAACAGAAACTGGCTGACAGTATACTCAAGTAAGTGATACCATGAGCATATTGTCCTAAGTGTAATCTTCAAGTTGCTTGCGTGTTTTCTTTAACATAATTCTTCAAAATAGCTTTGTTGTTCTGTGGAAAATGGTAGCTTTTGCTTTTGTCTGCCTCACAGTAGGGAGAAAGAATAGAATATGGAAGTAAGATCATAGCAGGAATCTTACGTTATTTTCCCAGAAACTTTTTTTTTTTTTTTTTTGCATAAAGTAACAAATTCAGAGCAAACTGTTCACTAGGTGACTTCTTACAAGTGGGATCTATACCACCTGATTGTAAGCATGAAGAATCTAGAGAAAATTTACATTAAATAATTTAGATTCACAGGGAAAATGTTTTAACTCCATAAAATTTTGAAGCAAGGGGCTATTATGATGATCTGCTAAATCTGGCTGTATAAATTCAGTGATTTAATTTGAGTTGAAGAGATGACTCTTTATGTACACAGTTTCTTAGGAAAGTTGTGTAAAAATGAAAATACAGAAAATGAATGTTAACATGACAAGTGTATTTTTAATAACTTATTGTCTTCCAAAGATCATTACTTATTCTAAAAGTTTATTTTGTGTGCCAACATAAAACACTTTTGCTGTCCTGTCTGTAATTTGCTACCATTTATCTAGTTTTAGTCATGTTGTCGACTGTCTGTGTTGAATAAGACTAATATGGGTATTGATGTGAACTGGTACTCCCAACGATGGAAATTCACCACTACTTACCTTGACATGACAGTGGCTTTTAAGTTGTTCCTCAACAACTACTGATAAATAAAAATACATGTACCTGGCTGGATAAAGCCCTAAGGAACGTGGTTGAATTTCATAGCTGACCCTGCTTTGAGCAGGAGGTCAGGCTGGAGACCTCCTGAGATCTCTTCTAGCCTGGCTTATTCTGTGATACTTGTGTGTATATACATGTGTGAGTGTATAAATGTGTGTGTAACATTTATGTATAATTTATAAAGATACATTGAGTGATTTCAGATATAGCTATAATAAATTTTCATTCTGCTGGTTTTCTTTGCCCAGTCTGCCACTAAGAAACCTCGGAAGTCTCCAGCAGACAAGGGCCGTTCTGAATCTGGAGCTAGAGGAGCAAGTCGTGGAAGAGCTAATGGCCATCCTCAGCAGAATGGAGAAGGGGACCCTGTCACTTTGTTTGAGGTGGTTAAGCTGGGGAAGAGTGCTATGCAGGTAAAATAACTAATTGTGTTATCCCTTCACAATTCAGTATATCCTGACTATAGAAGTTCAGTCTAAGCTATGCTTTTGTAAACAATTGTATATTTTCATAACCTGTATTGGTCCAATGGACTGTCTGTGTATGATAAAGTAAGGGACAGAACGTGCTTTGATTGAGTTGAGGACTGTCATATATACTTCTGAAAGACAAGAGACAGATCAGAAAGTAATGTATTTAAAATTCTCCATTATTTTGTTCATTACTTCCAAATTGAAAATACATGTTGGTATTAAGCAGTCTATTAAAGAATATCTTGTAGTAAGTATGAGGAAAAAGTATATGATATTAGTGATGGATCCAAGGCTTTTTTGTTTGCTTGTTTGGTTTTTGTTGTTTGTTTGGTTTTTTTTCCCCAAAAATACCTGCTGACACAAGCAGGTTTGAGTACTTTGCACTGCAGCTTGCATTCTTCTTGCTGTCCCCACCAGAGCAGCAGATGAAGGATAAACTAGTAGCCTAGACTTCCTCTGTGTCTGAGGGACAAAGATGGACACATCCTGAAGGCAAATTTTTCATTGTAAAATAAGTATCTAAGATAGGTGTAGTGAATCACCTCTGTAAGCATTTCTTACTCCTTTATATTTTGATCAATTTCAGAGGTCTTAGAGGATTTATTGGGCCGGATGAGTCCCACCTCAAGAACCTCTATAGATGATTGTTTTTGATAGTACTTGTATGCTTTTAGTAAGCTACTGTGCTTCAGGTATTGGTTTAGTCACTCAAAGGAGAAACAACAGGCCCAAAACACTGTTCATCTGGTGCAGTGCAAAGCCAACAGTTGTTCCTACTGAAGGACTGTTTAAGCAAACCTCCTTTACTTTGCATTTCAACAAAACAGGACTCATGCAATATCAGTTAGTTTGTTTTGACTTCGTGGTGCTAACTAACATGAGAAAATTACAAATTAGGAAAATTAGCGGCCAAGTCCCATTTTCCGTATTACTTTTAGTGTAGCTAAAGGCTAAGTCTAACTCCCAAAGGAATCTAGTCTCCCAAATGAGTGAAAGCTGTTGAAAATTTTCTCTGTCTCAAATCTGTGGAAGGTCTGAGATGTAATTTTAAAGAAGTAATTAACAGGAAGAAAATGAGAGTTTTGATTCTTCATAGTTGCTGTATTTACAGTTATTCAGGACTGACCCTTCTTTTCTAGTAGGTGAAGACAGAACAAATTTACTCCTAACAAAGCTACAGATTCCTTGTGCCTCTTCTTCCTACATGTTTTAAGTCAGGGCTTCCAACTTTGCTTGAGTTTCAACACTTCTTCAAATTTCGTTTTGGCAGGATTTGAGGAAACATCTGGAGTTTATTTTCTGGTTTTACTGTGGTACAGAACATACAGTATGCTTCATGTAGTATGTTTGTCTTAGTTATTGATATTTGCAGGAGCCAAATGAAAAGGAATGGGTGATTGTTTTGATATTTGATGACTCTGTGTGTGTGGAATTGACTTTGATGCATGTCATCTATTTCAAAAGAGATGCCATCAGAAATCTTCTGCAAATGAAATTCTAAAAAGAAATTGTCTACATGTTTGTATTAAGAAACCTTTGGAATTCAACTACAAAGGAATTGTTTTGAGAAATTTAGTATTTGTATATGAATATATAGATGGGTGTGTGTCTGTATATTTGTGTATATATACATGTGCACATATACATGTGCCCAGCCTACATATTTGAGGGCAAAGTAGACAGCACATTTTAAGCAGTGGAGAAATGATAAGCAAATAGTAAAGGAACAAGCGAGTTTATTTGAAGGCCTGGGATGCAAACAGCCATACATGACTTGAGCCGTATTTAGGAACACAAATCCTAATTTCAAGAGTATGTGTCACGTTTGCACCTTTGAAAATTTTACTATTGGTAAAAATATTCCAAAAAAGAAAGAAGGAAAGAAAGAAACCCTATAGTGGGAAACAGGACACAATTAAAATGTGATTTAATATTTTTTAACTTTCACTTCTGGACAATAATCCCATGTGAAACCAAGGTTCTATAAACGAAACTTATTAGCGTCTTTATACTTTTCTTTTTCCTTAACAGCATAGGGATTTTGATGTAACAACTAGGAAGGCTTGGCATTTTTGTTTTTCATAGTTCCGTTGCAGGTTTTTTGTGGCCATTTTCAGCAATTTTGTCAGTATTGCCAATTTTCAGAGTTGGCATTTTTGTTTTTCGTAGTTCCGTTGCAGGTTTTTTGTGGCCATTTTCAGCAATTTTGTCAGTATTGCCAATTTTCAGAGAAGTGCCATATATTTGCATTTGTCAGGACCTATTATTTCTCAATATTTAGTTCTTTCCCTGTAATATGAACCCACATTTTTCTATAGCGCTCTTAAGTTTGCTTCCAGCAATGAAAACTCAGAAAAATTCAATTAGTATATTCTGAGATTACATGGGAATTTTACTTCATGTGCTTTCATTTCTGATCTATCTGCTCCTGCTGTTTGCTCTCAGGATTTATTTTAGTTGTTAGATTTTTCTGGCTTCGTGTTGCCAGCTCATGGAAGTCTGTAGCTGAATTCAATTCTCACTTCTTTTAAGTTTGTCCTCTATTTTGGTTCTCATAGCAGGATTCATTTACTACACTTCAGGCTTATTGCTGTTTGGTTCTTCCAGGGAAACAAAGTTAGGTTAATATTTTGTATTTCAAGTATACATAACTTCAGAGCTGCTCTTTGCATATAAATCTTTGCCTCTATTATGAACTGCTAGTTGTGTTGGTGTTAAGTCTCATTTGAACTCTATAAATCAATTTGGTGCTCGCATTAACTTGGTATCAGATTGTTATCACTGTTTTTAAATTTGCTCTGTAACCTTTTGTACAGTTAGTCGCTTCAGAATTTTTTCTGTCTGCAACTCTCTGCGTATGGAGTGTGATATGACCTGCCGTTCATGTTTTCTGCGGGTACATTTTGTTAGTCCATTAAGACTGTTCATAGAGCTTTTTTAGGCTCTATGTTTTTTTTCTTAGGCAAACATGATACTCTTCTGGATTTTGTCATTTGTTGCCCCCCAATGTTTCTTTGGATACAGCTATATCCACTATATTTCCCCACTCTGAACCTCTGTAGGCAGAACGGACTATATCACCCTTTCTTATGCGCTAAACTGCCTGAGTTTACACTGACGGGAATGAAGGGCATGGGTGGACCTCCACGCCTCCAGCTGAGCTCCCAGTGCAGAGGGGGACTCGTAGCTTAAACCTTCATAGGCACTTCTGCATTGGTCTCTGACCCTGGCATTAAGCTGGCAGTGAAGTAAAGAACATGTGATGATCTCCCATTTTGTTTAGGCCTCAGTCTGAACATTTCTCATAATTATGATGAATTTAGCTGCAATGAAGTTTGTACTTCTGTGTTGGTCTAACCGAGCATAGAAGTGTTCTGCTTTCTTGAGTGCAAAGGGGATTTGTGCCCCCCCCGAACATCAGACAGAATCATCAGTAATTGTAAGAGGTGTTCAATACCAAAACATGAACAGATCTATGCCTCAATAACTCTTTAATACTATGTGCGTTACCAGTTACCCTTAATTGATGTTAGCGGTTCACTACAGATTAGATGCTGATTTTGAAAAAAATATTTGACCCCTCTGCTTATGGTCAGCTAATAAAAGTAATCTTGGTGTTAGTTAAACATGGTTCAGAGTAAATATGGCTGTATTATATGCCAACCGTCATTTTAGGATATGTATCGAAAGAGAGCTTTCTACTATGTTGAAAATGGAATTTTTTCATTGTGCCACCAGTTCTTTGTGTCTCCAGAAGTCAAGAATGTGTGTGGTTCCTCACTGTTGTCTGCACATCTTGGCACGTGTAGATTTGAGTCTTTGAGGTTTCCTCCCCGTTTGAGTAAAGCTGTATTTGTAGCACTGCTTACCCTGTCATGAGAAGACGTTTTCTTTGTTTCTTATGTTTCAGTTTCTCAGATTTTTGTCATCTTTGCACCTACTGGGCTCGTGTTGGCAAGTTGTGACTCTTGTTCACAGTACTACACTGGCTAGAAAGTTTGTGTATCAGAGCAGGAACATCATGAGACCATTTTTTCCCTTCAGTTGCCTATCTGAAAGGATTAAAATATTTCGTTAATATTAATTTAAAATATTTCTGAAATGTTAACAATATTTTCAATATTATTTTCAATATTATACTGATTTTCATTGTTTATCCATCTGTCTGCTGCAGACTGAGGTTAAAAATCAGTACATGCAAAAATAAAGGGTATGCATCCCTTGTAATTAAACGTTTGAGCTGTTGGAAATAATATGAAAGAGGTAAAGGAAACACTCTGACCGCTTTCAGCAGTGTTCTTTTTTTTTTTTTATTCTTTATGCATTAGCATCTTACTGGCATGGTCGCCAGTTCCTTTTATCATAATGTATCAGGTTTGGATGATGTTTAGTCATCATCATCTGTATCTGAAATTATTTTCTGATTGAAATTCCTAGTACCTCCAGTATCTTTTTCTATCACTTTGAGATTTGGTGATCTGTACAAGAAATGCAAGGTAGTCAGTTCTTCCAAAGACCCTTTATGTCTTTATGCATCTTGTTAATACAGCATATCCTATATAATTTTAATAATTTTTGTATTTTCATAGCACTTAGGGCAGAAATAGACCATTATGGTCTGTATACTACCTCCCAGGGCAGAAGTAGACCATTATGGTCTGTATACTACCTCCCTGCATGGCTCAGACCATGGAATTGCACCTATTCCTGTATTAAGCCAACAGCTTCTTTTACAGCCGTCATTTTTCTATAGTAATATTAGTTTCAGTTAATTAGAAGTTAGGGTGGGCCAACCTTAGCAACTGTAGAGGCAGAGCCAAAGTTTTGAATATCATCATTCCCCCTCAGGTTTTGCTGCGGTAGCTGCTCCCCTGCCCTTGCGGTCACAGGTACCTTGGCCATTGCAAGCTCCCACCAGGGAGCTGGGCTGGTGAATGTGG